GAAAGTGCTAGTAACTTGTACTACTAGTCCCGTACACCAAAGGACGATGGCCCATGAACTTTTGCAAGTTGTGGTCTGGGTACAGTAGACCGTCATTTCAATTTCAGAGAAAGAACGGGGGCGTAGGACATCATAAGATATACATTGCCAACCTCGCCCATGTATTAACACAAGATATGCCATCACCGTGTCGGGGTCAGCATCGCGCTTGCTCGCATCATATACATTGCCAACCGTGATGATGATGGTACATATGATATGAACGGCAGTGTAATTGGTGCTAGAACGAAGCATCATGGGCTGGTCATGGAGGCTCTCGCGCCGATCGGCGCAGCACGCACACGGCGACACGATGCGAGTTGCCATTGATTGGGCCTGCGTGTACCAGAAGGGGCGGATTCGACAAGCCAGCCGTCGGCCGTCACGACGGGGCGCTTCCTCTGGTGGCACACGCCTGCGCACATGAATGAAGTGAATGAATCTGTCGGGTGCGCGGTCTCCGTCGCTGGGTGGTTGATCTCATCTCGCAGCGCGGGTTCGGCAGCCACGCGCGCTACGAGTTTGGGTGGTGATGGTGCCGAGGCTCCATCCGTCTGGTTGCGGCGCTGGGCTGCCCGTGATAGCTATGGAAGTGGAGTTGGAGGAGATCGACAGCAACAGGATGTGCATTCAATGCGGACGACGAGCGGTGCCGAATGTCCCAGGAATGGGTCGGCATGATTGGGCCGCAGCGGATTGCCAAGGCCAAGCGGGGCTGCCACAGGAAGCAACGTGTAGTACACGACGCAGCTGGCAACAATAATGCACACTGGCGGTCGAGGACTGACTACTCATCTCAACTCAACTGGAGAAGAACAGTAGGCCTTAATTCGCTGATCCCTTCGATCCCAGAAGCGAGCATTTGTAAGAGAACATTTGGACCTTACAGCATTAGCTGAGGCTCCAAAATATGATATGTGCAAATTCGGCTCGAAAATAAATACCACAATATACAACCCGAGTATGAACAGACGACCAAAGGAAACTGTGTCCACCTGAAAGAAAGAGAAAAACAAACAACTGGAAATACCAGGAAGCCCAGCGCAACGAGTGACCACTTGACTAGAGCCAACCTCCAACACCCATTACTAACACTAGCAGTTGCTAGACTATATTTCCATGTTCGCAGTGAGATCAATCTACTCCCACTAGGCTCAGATAGTGAGGCTGATGCTGACAACAAATCATTCCTTGGTAGCGAAATGTGTCACAGAAGAGAAAGCAGCATGACTTCTTCAATGTCAATGGCGTACCAAATATGTCAGATAGTTTGAATCAGCGTTCTTCAGAAATGTTCCCTTGAATCGAGCGTTCTTCAGAGATGTTCTGCATTGCAAGGAAAATTTCCGCATCAGGTATGTTGGATATCGATGTTAACACGGTATGCGAGAACAACATTATTCAGTACACAGAAAATGATTTGTCTGCTTCATGTTAACAAAATAAAACAGCTGCCAATAGTCATTTGGCTGTATTCTAGTAGTGACAATTGACAAAACTAGGGCACACTAGCAGTAAACTGTATCCACATAAAATGTTTGTCCAGATAGATAAACTTTAGTTTTGTCTCACGGCCCAGGCTCCGGAGAGCGTAGCCGTGCAGATCCTTGTGCGCCGTGTGCACAGGGGGGTTAGGGTTTGGGGTCGGAGGCACGCCTCCTCTTTCCTTCTTTATTGATTCTCTGGTGTCCACATACTAGGCCTAGGTCCCTTTATATAAAGGGACGGCTGATACAAACTCAACTTAACTTTCCAGCTAACACAATCTTTATCTATGGAAATAATTAAATAACTTGATATGCAAGCAAACTAAAGATAAAGCCTATCTCTAAGCAGATTTGGGACCCTCCCTGTTCCTACGCCTGAAGTGCTGGCCCCACAGGACATGTACCCGAAATGAGTTGTGAAGAGCTTAGTGCACAGTTCTGAAGAGATTACTGTGCAAAGGGCTAGGATTTAGTGATATTACGTTGTGAAGAGCTCAATGCACAAAAGGTTACATGATTGATCACTATACGAGCATAGAATGGCCATTCCTGGAACTAAGAATTTAAAAGCAAGTAAAATATGCAAGGACACCTTAAAAAGTATATCAAGAATCAGAGATAGAAATGGAAAGATAATCAAATAATGGAAGTATATACAACCATACTTAAACAGTGTATCTGTGCTCATGAATCATGATTGTGACTGATGTGTTGCCTAGAATAACCTTTGGGACATTTACTGATATGTTGGTACTTATATGTTGCCAAGAATAACCTCTAGAATATTTATTTGACAGATTTAACCTTTAGAGGTTAGGGTCTGCTCAACTTTCTCTATCTCCGCAATCCGCATCCAACTCCTCTTTCTTCCCAATCCATCATGTCCTCATCCAAGATCGAATCCCTCTCTGTAGTCCTCATCCAATGCTGGATTGATGCGCCGGTGGACACCCAAGGCCGTGGTGACCGAGCAGACACTGGCGCTGCTCCCGCTAACTGTGAAAGAGACCTCGAGGGGCGGAGGAAGACAGTTGCTTTGAGCGGCTAAGGGCGGCCGCCTCGGAGGTGAGGCAGCAACTAGGCGTACACGCCACATGAGATAACAATTCTCGGTGTCCAGATTTGACGAAGCTTGTGATGCGGTTCCAAGCTCCATCACCATGCACTTGTCCCCTCGGAAGCATGAGAAGGAGAGAGGTTGGTGGCAGAAGAGATGGATCTTTTATTCCTATAACCAATTTGTCATCGGAGCAACTAGTTGCTCCAGTTCCCAGTTATTCTAATTTGGCAACGCCTCCACAGGGGTGCGAACCAGTGCCAAATGCCAAATTTAGCATTTGGCATTGCTATTTGGCCAATGGTGGGGCTGCCCTTCAAGTTAAATCTGACTCAAGATTCTTAGAGTAAACTTTAATGAGAGGTTTTGTTGGTTATTAGCAAGAAGCCTGTGTATTTCTATGGACTAACAAAATCATACAACATGTTTATATGACTAATTACTTTCTTCTATTGGGGTGCTGCACGGTGTATCCAGATATTCATTATACATAGGAGAGTTTGTGCAAAACAGTTTCCAGTGGGTCCCCTGGGTGGTAAGCAGTCTCACCTCAATCTCAGCCGCTGGTAGCAACTTGGATGGTTACTTAGTATGATCTCAAGGCAAATGGTTCATCACCACCAACTGATATGTTTAGAGCAGAAATATAGGATTTATTCCCGTCTTTCAAGTTTAAAAATGTTGTATATACCCTTGGTTGCAGAATAGGCATAGTTAGGGCACAGAGAATGTGAAATTTCAAGCACATTTCACTAAATCATATGTTATATTACAGATGTCTAGTCATCGGTTTTTGTTATAAATATAGATAGATTAATAATCATGAACGGAATCTGAAGTTGCAGGTAAGAGTAAAAATAGAGGTTATAACTCTTTCTGGAGAATACGCATTGGAATCGTGCATATTTGCAGTACTCGGAAGGAAAAATGGATACCTAAATGTCATATCCTAAATTCCTAATTAGATCGATACAGGATCGACAGGCTTAGCATTTAGCATGTAGGTAAGGTTGCCCCACACCATTGAAAGGAACTGTTAAGCAGATGTATGGATCAAAACATGCAAACAACCTAGGATTCCTGAACCATTGGCAATTCAGCGCCTCAATGAAATGCCTTGCTCTCAACTTCATGGCTTCCAACCTGATTATGGTGAGCAGTGGCTGGACCTTGGAATATTTGTTGTTGAAGGGGCCATTTCTCTTCCTCCACAGAAACAGTGATACCTTACCTTCCCTTCTCTTCCAGTTTTTGGCAGAGTAAGATATAGATGAAGGGGCAGATGGCTGTGTTCTCCCAGTTTTGGCACGAGCAAGACACAGAGGAGGGGCGGGTGAATGTGGCACAGAAATGGGGAATAAAGGAAGGCTTCCCACAAAGGTCTTGTGTCCTGATTAATTTCGTGGTTCAGGTGGAGCTGAACCCCATAATCTTTCTTCGATTACAATCAAGAGAAAAATTGAATTGAATTGCCTAACAGTTTTTATTCAAAAGCAACCAAATTGAATGTTTTCTCTAAATTGGGGCTCCGGTTAACTAACAAAGAAGGCTTGCAACTATAATACAGAGACCAAGGGCAGTTTGTCATGTTTAGATGGTTAGTGTAACTTTCAGGTATCCATCACATACAGATAAAATCGTTCCCACTTTTGATGTTTTCACCACCATAAATTTCATAAGCACTCAAAACCAGTGGTTGGCATTTTACATGAAAACCAGAAACACCATGCCAAAAGTTTATCATAAGCTGAAATTGACGCGAAAAATTAGCAAATCCTATGCTTCATGGGACTGACTGTCCAATGGAGGAAACCGAACTGAAGTAATATGGAACAATAGTTTTATGATATGTTTCTCACTAATCAGGCTGTACATGTCCAACAACTCATAACCTATATGTGAAATCACCTTCATTAAATCTTAAATGTGTTGCTATTTTTCTGAGAAAACGCAAAGCTTGCGCCTCAATGCATTGATAGAAAGAAGAGAAATACAAATGTACAAGCCTAAGACTAGACTGAGCAACCGACCACTAAAGGAAAGACCACGAACAACACCCACAAAATAAACGTTACAACTGACGCAATCAACCGACCACTAGATGCCACCGAGACAAGCATTACAAATCATGAGCTGAGGCGCAATTGCTACGCACGACGCAGTCAGTGCCATACATCTCAGCGGGACGTTTATTACGAGCTTGTGCGCACACACTGCCGATTGGACGGTGCTGAACCGGTTCGTGCTGTAAGTTCAAGTACTGAATTTCGCGCGCTAGATTTAGGTAACATTAAATGTGTTACTACCATGAATCAACAGAAACTATTTCTTAGATGAACCTACTGCAACTGCAAGACATCAATCAAAATTATAGAACGGTGAAACCATACATTACAATTAGGACGGAACCAACCTTGTCAGACCCGGAGAAGCTGGACCTTGTTCTCAATGGAAATGCCCATCCAGTCCGGGTGTCCGGCCACCCACTGCAGCTGGTTTATCTCGGCACCCGCATCATAAACAAGAACTGGATCAATCCCTTCGGGAGGCACTGCTGCCGGTGCCTCAGGCAGCTCCCAGATGAGCGCCTGCCCGTCGTCCCCTGCGGAGCAGAGGTGTCTTGCAGCCTGCGGTGCCCACGCAACAGCGTTGACGCATCCCCCATGCCGATGTAGCTCGGCCACAGGCACCCCGGGTGCGCGTATGTCGAGCACAACGACGGCGTTGCTGTCCATGAGCAGGGCGGCCATGTATCGCAGGTCATAGCGGTTCCAGGCAAGCCTGAGGAGCGGCGTGTCCGGGCGGGGGCTCTCGTAGACGATGGTGGAGTGCTCCTTGTCCCGGAGATCAAAGACGCGGACGGAGCCATCGGCGGAGACGGAGGCGAAGACGCCGGCCTCCCCCCATGCGATGTCGTGCACGGCCTTGTCGTGCGCGATGAGCTGCGTCTCGACGACGCCGCGCTCGATGTCCCAGACGGTGCAGGTGGTGTCGATGGAGGCGGTGCCGATGCGGCGGGGCTCGATCTCGTTCCAGTCGAAGGAGGTGAGGGGCGCGCAGAATTCGGAGGCGGAGGCCTTGCGGTTGTCGAGGACGGAGCGGAGCTCGGGGGCGGGGGCGGAGGCGGAGAGGTCGTCGAGGGGGGCGTGCCAGAGGCGGAGGGCGTCGGAGGAGGAGGCGAGGAGGGACGTGGAGGCGGCGCGCGGGTTGAACTGGAGCTTGGTGGGCGGGTAGGGGTGGTCGAAGGAGAGGGAGGGCACGGCGCGGAAGGAGGCGGCGGTGGGGTGGACGGAGTCGAAGCAGAGGAGGGAGACGCGGTTGTGGAGGTCCTCGAGGAAGCTGCCGGCGGCGAGGACGGGCGCGGAGGGGGAGAAGGCCAGCGCGTAGATCGACTGGGGGAGCTCGCACGTGAAGGCGTAGGGGTTGGGCGCCGCGTCCGCCCCCGCCGGCGAGGCGGCCGCCGACGGCGTCGGCTTGGGCTGGTCCATGGGGAGAGGGTTCGCCCCTGTTCCGTGCGGATTTGGGGGTGGACTTGTGCCGCTGGCTGCTGGGGCTCCTGGCCTGGGTGATTGTTTTACGGACGCGACGAGTTAAAAGGAGGAAGAGCCGGCGGGCGGTGTGGGGGAAGATTCAGCGCTCTCGTCTCTTGCACTCTAGCGGCAGGTGAACGGCGACCTGGCACGCGAGCACGAGGGTTGAAATCGATGCCGCCGGTCTACGGGTGCAGTGCGCGGCGCACGGGAGGAAGTGTCGTTCGAGTGAGATGTTGACCGGAGAACACGATCGGGATGGTGCTGCTCTAGTCGTGGGGAAAACTTGCTTGATACATTTATATTTAGACAAATTTAAGACAAGAATTTAAAACAGATGAAATATATACGTAGTTACGTACGATTCTAAGGAAACAGAACAAATATTATAACTAAAAATGCATATCTAGATGTGTTTTATTTATTACATATCTAAGTAACTCAATTAAACTGAAGAAAGGGGAAAAAAGAAATTACTTGCATGAATCCTAGCATAAAATTAACGAACATAGTAGAATCTAGATATGGCATACTTAGAACGCATCTAGAGTGTTTTAACAAGACTGTAATTAAAATGTCATGTTTTTTTTAGAAAGGCCATCATGACTAGCTTTATTAACTCAACAAAATGTTTACATCATCAGCTAGTTTACCGAGGAGGAAACTAGGGGGATCACCATCCCAAATACTAGAAACTTTATTATGAAAATTAAATTGAGCTAGCTCATGAGCAACACTATTAGCCTCTCTAAAACAGTGCATAAAATTGACCTTCCCTACATCCGTAGCCAAGTTCAAGATTTCCGCATATATTGTTGTTGCAGCATCCCACCAATGATCATGTTCAATGCAAAAATTGATTACCTCCAAAGAATCTGATTCCGCTTCAATAGCGTGAAACCCCATGGTGTTAGCAAAGGCTAGACCATCCCTCATCGCCACAGCCTTGATGTCGCGTGATATAGCCGCTGCAGCTCCAGCTCCTTCGTCCGCATGATACGCCGCATCTACATTCAACTTCACAAAACGTAGTTCAGGCTTGGTCCATCTCTTCTCCACATCCGGCAACAAAGAAACTTTCCGTGTAGCATTTGCAGCAATCGAAATAATAGATGCGGCATACTTCCCCGCTGGTGGTACCCTCTCTCCATTAGTGATCTGTCTTCTAACCCACCAAATGTACCAACCTGCAGTAGCAGTTGCTTCTCCAATCCCAAAACTAGAAGCATACGGTAGTGAACCTGAAGTGGACATCAATATATATTCCAGAATGGCCGAACCTGATCGGTCAATCACTAGTGCATCAGCTATAATATCATATATACCTAATCGTTGACATATCTCAACAACCGGTTTACATAGAAATAGAAGATGGAGGATATCTTCGGCTCCTTGATGACAGAACGGGCACTCACTGGATGTTGGGATATGTCTGTTCGCTAGGATTGATCGAACTGGGACCACTCCATGCAAACTTCTTCAGCAAAATATTTGTAATTTCCATGGGACCTCAAGCTCCCAAATCTTGTTCCAAATTGGATTGTCAACTGATGGACATGGACTAGTTCGATTGCCTCTGAATTTATGTGCCCATTCTGCGTGGTATGCAGTTTTCACCGAAAAAATACCAGTTCGGGTGTGATGGCAAGCAATAAAATCTTCAAAAATCTCATAATTCAAAGGAATTTGGAGAATCCTCCTAACATCCACTGGATTGAATATAGCTCTAATCAGTACTTCATCCCATTCTCCATTTGTTGGATCAATTAGGTCTGATACCTTGGAGATTAAAGTTTGACCCCTTGGCGTGATTATATGACGGTCTGGACTAGATGGAATCCATGGATCAGTCCAAAAATTAACCTTGGTACCATCACCAATGCGCCAAATATGGCCCCTTTTAAATGTTTGCAGCCCCGCTACGAAACTTTGCCAAGTAAAAGAGGAGCCATTTTTCGGTCCAGCCAATAATAAATTGCCATGCGGATAATACTTAGCACGCAACACCTTAGCACAAAGGTAGTCTGGACTAGTTATCAATCTCCAACAGTGCTTAGCTAGCAAGGCCAAATTAAATGAGTGAAGGTCTTGAAACCCCATCCCTCCCATCTTCTTTGGAATACATAGTTTCCACCAGGCGTACCAGTGCATACTTTTCTTGTCTCCATCTCCTCCCCACCCAAACTGTGCTATGAGGTCCGTTATGTCCTTACAGACCCCCTTAGGGATATTAAACACCGACATGGCAAACACAAGAATAGCTTGAGCAACTGCTTTCAATAACAATTCTTTACCGCCCATTGATAAAAGCTTGGTCATCCAAACACCAATTCTTTCTCTGATTCTCTCAACAAAATGCTTGAAGCAATCACTCCTCTCTGCTCCTACTAGAGCCGGTAGGCCTAAATATTTATCTGAGAGTGCTTCAGTGTCAATATGTAATTCTTGACAAATTTCTTCCCTCGCCACCACACTGGTATTAGGGCTAAAGAATATGCTTGATTTTGATCTACTCACCAATTGTCCAGAGTTAGTGCAATAATCATCTAGTGCCTTCTGTAAGGAAGCTGCATTTAACATATCCGCCGTCATGAGGATCAGGGAATCGTCAGCAAATAAAAGGTGTGAGACTGGCGGTGCATTTTTACACACCCTAACCCCATCAATGCCACCAGCTTCTTCTTCAAACTGCAGTATACTAGATAGACCTTCTGCACAGAAGAGAAATAAGTACGGCGATAAAGGGTCCCCTTGACGAAGGCCCCTTGTTAGTGGGACTCCTTCCGTCTCCTGAGAATTATACTTGATTGTATATTTCACTGAAGAAACACAATTCATAATTAAATTCACCCACTGGCCATCAAAACCCAATTTCAGCATCATATTCCTCAAAAAGACCCATTCAACTCTGTCATATGCTTTATGCATGTCCAACTTAACGGCACAGAGTCCTGATTGCCCGTTTCTCTTGTTCTTGATTTTAGGACACACTCATAAGCTACCAAAATATTATCAGTTATTAATCTACCAAGCACAAAAGCACTTTGTGTTTCTAAAATGATCTCAGGCAGAATGGTCTTCAATCGATTCTTAGATATTATCTTGTAGATAACATTACAAAGGCTTATAGGACAAAATTGAGTAATCGATTTGGGAGAGTCAACTTTAGGTATCAAAATGTCATGTTTATCTCAATCCTACATGATTGTTTTTCATCATAAAAAAACAAAGCATTCGTTTAAAGAGATTTCAGTGTGGTGACGACTGCCGCAACCTCGCAGCAATCTCTACCATGTGTGCTCGCCATCGACCGTCGCCCTGCCCACCCTTTTCCCCTCCTCCTCTTAAGTTGCCGTGGCTGTCGTCGGAGTGTTGCGACACGCAGTTGGAGATGTTGGAACCGCCGGATGACCATGCTGCGACTGCGTGAGTGGTGTTATGTGCAAGGGCAATAAGGTGTTCCTTGAGCAGTAATTAGGGGGGAGGTGTTGCCAAGGACCCGTGTGGTAGGCGGCGAGCTGCAACCGGCATGGTGAAATGATGGCATGACGACCAGCATGGTGGAATGATGGCATGACAAGCTACGATCGCTGCAACCGACGACGGAAAGAGCTTCGACCTATGACGACGAAAGCTGCAACCGTCTATGGTGGTGCTCCAACCAACCACCGCGTACAGGGCAAAACATATGCTACGACCGGCAAGTCTAGAAGCTGTGACTAAAACATATGCGATGATGCTAGTGGCAACCGCAGCGACATGTGCGACAGGCCAGCGCAGTGTACATGAATCAAACAACCAACAATTCTTATCTAGTCTAATCCTCTAAAATTCCTTTGAATCAAAGGAAACCTTAGAAGGATTGCAGATTCACCTGAAATGCTTGCATGTAGCAGTGCAAACATATGGGCAACACATAACATCAAGAAGAACTGCACGAGGTTATTACGAGTTTGTTGCTCAGAAAAAATAATATTAGAACAAGTTTAACCAAAAGACCTTCACCACTCAAATACATCCTGTTTCTTTCGCAAACCTACAATGGCGCAATGAAAATATGGAGCGTCCCGACCCAACCAAACACTGCATGACGACCTGAGTAGCAACTGTTACTGTATTCTGACCACACAAGACTCTAGACAAAAGCTCGCCTCATATTACCAGTTCACCTCATCTCATCACTACCCAGCTTCTTAACGGTGACTGAACAAAGCCCGGCCGACGATGCCAGTTGCCTCAATGTAACGATCAACACAGCGTGACACGCAGCTGCTCTCGCTTCCGCTCAGGCTTGATCCTGGCTTGGTCACACACTTTGCAAAGCACTTGTTCCCAACGGTCTGCGAAATTACAAGAGACAATTAGCTTCGTGTTATTGCATTTAGCAAAGGAAATGTGTCTAGACAAACAATTTACAGAGAACACGCCTATATTTCCACAATGATGGGCATGATCTTAAAAAGATGTGCATATCCGTTTGTCAAGGCAACGACAGAGGCAAACAAGAGAGTTTTCCAAATATCCATTCCCCAGGCAACAATTGAGTTTCAAAACTCCTTCATGTGACATCAATGACGACCAGTCAGTCCAAATGAACGAAATAGATGATGCAAAGGTAAAAGTTAATAATAATGGAACTGCAGCAAGCCTAGAAAAATCCACAATGACCTGTGCACTCGCTTACCCCTTCCCAAAAGATTTGTACAATTTGCAGCCAGGCGACCACTTTTAATGCTGAAAACCTCAACCGCCCATAAGCTTGCTCTTTCTCATATTTCAGACGAGAACACAGCTAAACAGGCCAAAGCTTTTCAAGTGGGAAAGCAATCCTAATTTATACTATGGCTATTTCTCATTAACCAACACTAAACAATGTTGTTTTCAGATGGAGAGTTCATATTGTTCGACTAGAAAGCTTGTATTATGTAAGTAGGATGTTTTGTTTGAGTAAAGCTAGTAAGTATTATTCGAGTAAAAAGTTCTGTTTTGTTAGTGGAGAGTTTGTACTATTCAAACAGAGACTTTATACTATTATCAGACTAGAAAGTTTTGCCTTACTGGTAGAAAGTCTTACTATTCAAATAGGAAGTTTCGTTTAAGAGTGAAAAGATTGTACATACATAGAAAGTTAGTGTCCTTTAACAGAATTTAAGTAGAAAGTTCGTACTATCAAAGTGGAAAGTTTATGTATTCAAGAAAAAAGATTGTATAACCACCCACAAAAAAAGACTGTATAATAAGATTTTGCCATCAATCAAAATAGATAAATTGCACAAAATAATATAGGCAAACAGAAAATTTATCAAGATACACAAGTAAATGGACTGCGTCTTATGCAACCTATTATTACAGCAAAGGGGAGAAAAACACCCGGATTGGCCTGTCAGAAACTTGTGGTCGAAAATCGCGCACGAGCGCAAATTATGGTGCCCTATTAATAGTTAGGACAAGAAAATGTATAACATGCTACATCACCATTCGCTAGAGGTTACCACATATCTCCAAGAAAAAGAGCATGACTTAATTGAATCCAGTGCAAAGTAATAATAGTTCATATCAGAATAATAGACCAACCAGATAATACCATGAACATGTCATCGTTATCTAAATTAATCTATGGACATAATTAGGTGTTAGGCAATGCAGATGCACTTAAAAAGGGTTACCCTTAAGTTAGCAGGGACAATGTAGAAGACCTAATCACTCCTACCAAAATAAGTTGCTTGTGTGCAAAATTAGAAGCTGTAAGCCCCTGCACAACAGGAACATCACCAAACAGAACCTTGATGATATCCTTCAAAATTAAGAGCCATATAATGATTTATTACTTGTCACCATCAACCACAACATAAGAACCCAAACAATCCATACAGACTCAAATTAATAATCTTACGAGAAGAAGAGATTTGCGGTGACCGACAACTCTGCCAGGCCATATACCATTACATTAGGTATAACAGGTACAACTAGAGCATCAATATTGCTCAAGGGTGTGCTAGGAAGAATCGGTACTACTTTTGCTTAAAAATAATCGGTGCTGTATAATATTGTCTTATACAGTAACTTCATTTATTCCTACTAACCTACTTATGGACTTTTTATACCTTCTCCTTTTACAAATAAATAAATAATCGTATATTGGTGATATTAGAATTTCACAAATATTGATGCAACTGTATTGTGTACAGGGGCATCATGGATCATCTCAAGGAAACATCTAGGCATACCAAACTCTACTATGAATAGAAATTTTTAGGGATCTTTATGCAGCCAGGTTCAGCAAATTGACCTATTGCCACTGAAAATGCGCAATATAAAACTCTATAATATTGGATTCTTAGTCTTCAACGACCGTTGCTCAATAGGGCAAGAAAATAGAACAATATAAATTACTATTCTGCAGTCTAGTCATGCCATATTGCTCCAGTTAAGTTGAAATGCGATGCAGATCATCTTGATATATCATATAAGATGCAGAAAGGTATTAAAGTCAATGGACATGGTGAGGATGGCTGAACAGCTGCTACATGTAAAGCTCTTTCCAAGATAATAATCCTTTTATGCAGAATTGCTAACCAGCTACTCAATTTAGTTAATTCAATTGTATTTATTACAGCAATCAGGATTGCAAAAAGATTTGGTCTGGTTTTTATTTTAAAAAGCTTACTATTAATAGATGTCTTTAAACTGAATTTCTCTCTAAACTTGAATGAAACCAACAGAGCTCAAACCCGGCAATCAAAGATAATGCAGTTGCTGCTTGTTCAAGTAGAATCTGCAAGCCCCCAAACAGTCTATCTATCTATAAAAGCCTTAGCATTTAGCATAGTGGAAAAAAAAACTTGCAAGCACGATAAAAAAAAATCCCCTCCGGTTCTAACATTATCGCCCCAACGAAACGAAGCCAAATATTCCCCTCCTAAGCAAATCAGCTATCGACGAATCAAGAATCATCTATGCCTGGTAACTAGCAGCCTAGCCGTCCACGTAGAAGCAGATCAACGAAAGTAATAAAGATATCAAAACATTAGGGGAGATTCCACCTCAAGAAGCTCCTGGGCATAGGCCTGCGCGAGCTGCGCCTTGATCTGCTCCATGAGCGCCTCCGGGTTGGGGGACGACCCTGACGACGACATCGACGGCGACGAGAAGGAGTCCATGCCGAATTCGCCTTGCTTGCCTTGCAAGAATTCGATGGTGCCCGGTGGTTACGGTGCGTTCTGCGCCGAAGGTTTCTGGGGACGGCGGGTTATACCGAGGTCGGGGGGCGGCGCAAAGGCAGGGTAAACCCTAGTCGGACTGGGAAAGGGCCGGTCCAATTTCAGCAGCAACATATAAGCCCATATTGTTTCTTGGGCAACAAGTTTCATGTGGGCCATGTCGAGGGTGCCTATACCTCGCCTATCACGAGTTGGACCGACCGCGCTAGTCAGGGCGTCGCAAATGGGCCGGCCCAGGTAGGTTCTACGTAAGTTCGTCTTTTCTCCTGTTTTTACGTTTGTTCGTATTTTTTTTTGCTTTTCCTAGTATTCCTATTTTTGGAAAATATTGTAATAACATATAATTCAAAGCTTAAAAAATAAAATATATTAAAATAGGGAATATGAAAAAAATGTTAACATAATGTAAAGCAATTGTTCATTCGCAAAAAAAAGTAAACCAATTGTTAGCTTAATTCAAAATATGTTAAAAACTTATGACATTTTAAAATTGTTAATGTGTTTCAAGATATTTAAGCTACATTCTAAAAAATGTTATTCGAAAATAAAAAAAAACTGATAGCATATTAAACAAACTTATGATATTTCAAAAAGTTAATGTGTTTCAAGAAATTTAAGCTACATTTAAAAACATGTTATTCAAAAGTTTTAAAATAAATTATTAAATAATACTTCAAATGTATAAGAAAAATGTTGATATCATACAGAAAAATATTCGTGAACGTTTTAAAATGTTCATGTGGTTGTCTATTTTAAAAACATTTGACATGTACAGAAATAATGATTCACATGTACATAAAACATGTACATAGAAACCCGAGAAAAACGGTACAAACAACACATAGAAAGCAAAAAAAAGTTCTAAAACCAAAGAAAACACATAAAATGAAAGGAATGGCCAAACACAACCGGTGAAAAGAAATAGAAATGAAGAAAACTAAAGAAATCAGTAAAAACTGAAGAATGAAACAAAGAAAAACGAAAATAAAGAAAAATCGGTGAAAACCAAGAACAAACAAAAGGAAACTAATGAGAAATAAAGAAAAAGGAAAGAAAAGAAAAAAGTCCGTGAAAACAGAGAAGTTAGTGAAAAACAAAGAAACAAGAAGTTAGAACGAAGAAAAAGAAAAACAGAAGAAAACCGATAAAAAAACAAAAACATAAAAGTAAAAAAACAAAAGGAAAAACCCCGAAGAAAACCATAGCAGAGTGAACGTACCGCGAGCGAACGGGCCAGCCCGCTTGCCCTTCACCTGATAGAAGAGCTATTTCCATCTCGCTACAAGCGAGATATAGCTGTCGCAAGCGCAGCAAACAGTCACACCCGCACAAGCTTTGGAACGCCCATTACGGGACATTTTTCATTTGTTTTCATGTTTTTCTTTTTTTCACTTATTCAAAAAATGTTCGCGTTATCAAAAAGTTCCAAATTAAAAAAGGAATTTCTAGAAAAATGTTCAAGATTTGAATAATGTTTCTGGATTTCAAAACTTGTTCTTGAATTTACAAAATATTCCTGTATTTCAGAAAATTATTGGATTTTTGAATAATGTTTCATGATTTCGAAAAATATGTATGAATTTGAATATGTTCCCAGACTTAAAAAATGTTTAGTAATTAGTAAAAAAATTCATAATATGTTTATGATCTAGAAAATAATTCATGTAATTCAAAAAAGTCCATGAACTTGAAAAAGTGTTTTGTATTTCAAAAGATGTTTACAAATTTCCATAAAAGTTTATGGCATCGATAATGTTCTGAATTTATAAAAAAATCATGAATACGAAAAATATTCATGGATTTGAAACAAGTGATACAAATTCCCAAAATGTTGTGAGTTTAAGAAAATCATGAATAAGGAAATGATACATTACAAAAACTGATTTCTAATAATGTTCTCAATTTTGCGAAAAAATTTCATTTTAAATTTGAAAAATGTTCCCACATTTCAAAAACTATTTGTTAATATGAACAAATTGAAATGAAAAGAAAATAGAAATTAAACAAAATTTGAAAAGGAAAAGTAGAAGAAGAAGAATTGGAATGAAAAGAAAAAAACAAAAGGTTCCCTCTAGGACTCAGTCGACTAAGACTTCGCGAAGTCTCGGTCGGTGATGTCAGCGTACAACTGTACTGTATTTTGTAGACTATGAGTATGTTTTTTTCGAGGTGTCACCCAGCTTTATTCAATCGAAATAAAATGTGGCATACAAACTATATCAGGGGTCTGTAGGAGCCACAAAGTGGCACCCCACATTTAGGGTAACAGAAGCTCTTGCCAAGTCATGCGACTCCTAATTATTCGCTCGCCTCTTGTGGCCTGCTTCAACTGCTTCAAAATCTCCCATCTGAGCTTTAATTTCTTCAATAACCATAGAACTAGATCCCCTGTACGAGCTCTTGAGATGATTAATAGTCGCCATGCAGTCTGTCACTACCTGTACTTTGTGAATGTTTAGATCACTCGCCAAGGACAGGGCCTCCCTAAAGGCCATAGCTTCAAGTATTTTTGGATGTACTATATCGCGGATCACCACCGAAGATGCTCCCTGAAAACTTCCAAGTTCATCTCTGCATACCGCAACAAAGGCAACTCTATCACTGTTCTGGCTCACAGCTGCATCCACCATGATTTTCAAATACCCCCGGACTGGAGGCTTCCATTTTCTAGCTGTTCTTGTGGTAGCTGGAACTCTTTCATGTGTAGTAGCCCCTTGCTTCATAGGCCTGCACGTAGCTAGTAACTCTATATCAGCTAAGTAACTTTGAATGAAGCTAAAGGTGGTCAGAGGTGATTGGAACTCCTGCTCATAAAGCGCTCTCCCGCGAGCCCACCAAATCGACCACAAGGTCACAAGTATTTTCACAAATTCAGCTTCACTTGTAGATTCCATCAGTTCAACAAGCCATATGCGTGCATCAGGAATATTGCATGCTATCAAATGCTCGACCATCTCTTCATCCATATGACTACCGGGTATGACCCGCCCAGAAGGGGCCGGGTCAATCCTAATGGCGGGTTACTAAAAGGAGCTCAGTAAATATACAAGGCGATGGTTTAGTATAAGACTTGTAGTAGGCCCAAGCCCAGAGGTGGCTTGAGGCCCATGATTGTAAACCGCCATGTGTAAGAAAGACTTGTAAAGAAAGGCATGTAAAGGAAGTCACCGAGCCGGACACGTTATATGAGTCGGTCGGGACTCTGAAGGCCGCCAGGCGTCAACCCGTGTATATAAGGGGACGACCCGGTGGCGGCTTAGGGTAAGAAACAATAGATTGAGAAGCCAAGCTAGCGTATTTCGCTCCTTGGTCATCGAAACCTAGCAATACCACATCAACTAGACTAGGCTTTACCTTCACCGCAAGGGGCCGAACCAGTATAAACCTCTCGTGTCCTTTGTCCCGATTAACCCCTTTAAGCTTCCTAGTTCCGATGGCTCCATAACTAAGTCCTTTCACTAGGACATCTGCCGTGACTATTCCACAATAGTTGACGCCCACCGTGGGGCCAGCACACGGTGGATTTGAGTTCTTGAAGGGCAACTTCAAAGGGCTCAAGGAATACACTATGGGCCGGATGACCAAGAGTCATCGCGGCAAGCTTTACATCGACGATGAAGGCTAGGGCCCCGACGCCGGCTCAATCGAGTACAGGTACCGGGTCCCCTTCGACGGAATCCACGTCTTCATCGACCGGATCGGCGAGCCGGACCCTGAGCCGGACATCTGCACCAACCTCGTCGAGACGACTCAGCACGCGATATTCGCCCGGGCTTAACCCGCCGTGAGGCGTGCCTTCGTGGGTTGCATCCATGGAGAGGAATTTTCCGAAGGATCGGTGGACGATGGTGAGACGGCCGTTTGCTCTAACGGTGAGTCGTCCACAGGCGAGACAGATTCTTTGTATCAGTTACAAGATGGCGGGCTTGGGGGTTGTCCCGATGGCAGCAGTATTCCGGACCCCTCTGAGCCGCCGAATCGAGCCGGAGTCTTCATGGCTGGCACTCAACCTAGTCAGAATTCTACGGCTGCGGCAGCGATAACCACCGGGTCAGCAGCGGCCAGGTCAGGAGACCCCGCGAGCCCACCGACTCAGGTACTAATGGACCTCATGGATAGGATGACGGCCCTGTTGACTGTTGTGGTTGAGCCGGCGGATAAGGCTCAGCATGACGCGGAGGTAGCACGGCTACGCGGAGAGGTAGCACAGGCCAAGGAAAATTTAGCGACGGAAGATGTCAGGATGGCCGCAGAACGGGCGGCTCTAGATGCACATGCTTAGCAGCTTCAAGTGGAGACTTTTCGGCTCTCGGTGGATCTGAACGCGTCAAACGAGGTCATGAGGAGTGATAATCCCCAAGTGCAAGGAATCATCGTAGCAATTTTCAAAGGTGGAAGTGATAAGTATGGAGTGTCAAACCCACAAGGAGCTAAAGGTAAGATCAATATTCTCTCAAGCCCTATCTGCCACTGATACGACTCTACGTATAGCGAACAATTGCTTCCAACTAGCAACGAGAAATAAAACTAGGTTGTGGATATGAAGAGGATAACTTTGTATGATATCGGAGAGCTAAAATATAAAAGTATGTGCTGTTATCATGAAGTTTATATTACTAAATATTATAAATAGTGAGTGTGGAATAATGGTGGATCGGTGTGCGGAATTGTCCTATGAAATCATTAACAAGACTGGTAATCACTATTGCAGTTTCATATGAGGGAGAGGCATAAGCTAACATACTTTCTCTACTTGGATCATATGCACTTATGATTGGAACTCTAGCAAGCATCCGCAACTACTAAAGATCATTAAGGTAAAACCCAACAATATCATTAAAGCATCAAGTCCTCTTTATTCCCATACGTAACAACCCCCTTACTCGGGTTTGTGTTTCAGTCACTCAGCAACCCACTATAAGCGAATCATGAACGTATTG